AAATGGGTCCCTCATTTTCATGGTAAAGGTATCAGCCACCCCACCCCTCCATGGTCTATACTCTCTCATCCAAGCTCCCAGGAGCATCAACTCATCAGATGCTCACCGTGGCTTGACCATAAGTGCTCATCTCAGATGGGTAGCCCAGCACCATCCCCCAGGCAGCCGTCTCAGAATCCCAGTTGGAACTCGCTTAGGCACCTGCACAGCTTTTTTCCTAGGAATAGAACATAGTTCATAATGACCTTGACGGCCACAAAGAGCAGCCTGTTGAACTGTTGCCATTCACCAGGGTACATTTCAATTGACACTCCCCACTCCCTACACACACTAGTGGAAATGATTTCAGCCTCCTCTGTTCTCTCATAGCAATTGCTCTGTGCATCTATTTAAACCTCAATCATGCTCTGCCTTGTATTATAGTCACTTAAACATGTGTCTATCTCCTTCACAAATAGTTAGGCTTTTAAGAGCAGAGAAGCTGTCTTACTTGTCTTTATATTGCTTTCAGAACCTAGGAGAGTACCTGCCACAGAGAGACTATTCAGTGAGTGTTTCAGGAATTGCTAACATCCCTGGTACTCGAGAAACTCATCAGAGATGAGCTGGCTCCATTTTAACTTTGTCAATAATTCAGTCTGTTAGGAAGAATGAGTCTATTAAATATGTTCTGCCAACATTGCTTATTCTTACATTAAAATTCACAGACCTGTTAATTTAGTAGGTTGCTATGATTCGAAAAGATTTGGCAATGATTGAAAAGACAGAGGAATCAGAATAAATCCCATTCGAATTATTCCAGGCAAACTTTAATTGAAAAGTCATTTGAATGATGCTGTTCTCTCTAATAGATCATTTCCACTTAGTAAGGTGTTACTTAGTGAGAAGAAACAGTAAAATGTGATTTTTATATTCTACTAAAAGGTTTGCATTTCAACTTTAAATTCCCTCATAATACCATACTATAGCAATCAAAGTAACGAGTCAAGTAAAATTCTAAATAAATATACTGAACAACTTGAGTTTCAAACTTTACTTATGGGAAAATAAAGAATCCTGTAATTTGAATTAGATCAGAAATTAAATGAATCTGTGATTTTTAAACAAATCAGTTAAATCAGTTTGTTAAAAAGACTTAAGTTCTTTATATGTCTAAATATCAAAATAATTTGCCTAAAGACAAAAACAGTTGTGAGATACATCCCAAATTAGAGTCACTATGTTAGTAATACAGATAATAATGCTAAAAGGGCATTCTAGAAATATGGCAATACATAAGCAATATAACCGGTAACAATTTGCAAGAACTCCAAAATTATCATTAAACTTAAAGCCAGGGAAAAACTATTAATGATGCAAAAGACACTTCTGAAAATTTTGGTACCACAATATTCAAGGTTGAAAAAGAAACTTCTTTATGAACTGCATACTAAGAGTAATTTAAAATGAGCAAAACTTCTGATGATGGGAAAGAACACTCTATCCAACCAATAACTTTGAGGGCTCCGGGAAGGTATGGTCAGATAAATTTCTGTAATGTTGTCGAAAATAGTACCTGCAGCCCCTGGAAAAATCACCAAAAAGTCCTTTGAGGTTGTTCACCAAACACTACATTTGTCCTGGCTCCTTAGGGATCACTTTCAGTCGTCACACTGAACTCCAGACTGAGCTGGTCCTCACTGAGCACCTACTATATATGTCAGGCAACAAGGCAGGTATCATCACATAACCAGCCCGTTCCCATAATTGCAAAGAGTTTCAATACTGCAGCATTAGAATGAGTTTAAATTGATAGCTATTACTTAGCACGCTTAAAAAATGAGCTCGGATGACACATAAGATTAAGTATATGTTATTCCACTCTGATTTTAAAAAGAGAAAAAGATTCTGTGTGATTTCACACTGTGCTAATTTTTTCAATAGGCAGAAGAAAAAGGCAATCGTTTAGTTGTGACAATAGCATAAAGCTCCTAGCGGGAACCACGGTAAAAGAATATTCCACTGAAACATCTTATTTAAAAGGTTGTTTTCCTTTGTGATGATAGGAAAGGGTATTTGTTTAGTTCTGATGACACTGTAACTGATTCCAATGTTCTGCATGGAGGAGAAAACATTTTCTCTTGACTACATTGTAATAAGTACCATATAAGCCTAATGGGTGTATATTAGAAAGAAGGAGACAATTAACTGGCATCATATTTACTTTCCTGTCATCAGGAGGGCCAAGGAGTCTGCACGTGGGTGTAGCTTTAGTCAGGGCATCAGTCATCCTTACTTTACTTAGTGGGAAGCACTGGACCACGGTGTGGAGCCCAAACCAGGACTGACTTTCCCTTCTCTGTGTATCTGCTCCTCTAGACAGCGGAAAGAGGCTGGAAAATATTCAGGAAGCTCAAATATTGCAAAAGAAATTTCCCTTTCTTCCTAAATTAGAAAGTAGAACTGACTTTAGTACACGTTTTCTCTGAACTTGTAAATTTGTCCACAAGGTCATGTTTACGAGCTCTCAGGCTGAGCAGTCTCGTGCTGATTTAGCTGAAGGAAGAATACTATTCAAGGCGGGGGGAGGGGGGCTGGTTTGCCCCTGCAGCCAAGTCCACAGGAAGAGCAGGGGGAATGGGGGTCAGGTGTGGGCAGAGAATGGCTGGGAGAAGAGTTGGGCTGGCTGGAGGACTTGATTTCACAGCAAATGGGAGTTTCCCTTTAGAACAGTAAATCAGTGGTCCAGGCCTAGCACAGGGTCAAATTCTAATAACTTGAAAAACACTCCAAGTATATGTTGTCCTCCCATAACTGCATGTCCTCTACTGCCCATCTCGTGCTCTTCATCTGGCAATTGGTGTTCCTCCTTCAAGGCCCAGCAGCCCCAGGAGCGTTGGTCTGCCTCCTCCACTCTCCCTGGCCTGCGGTGGGTGCCCCTGCCTGGCTCCTGTACACCCCGTGCCTACTTCTTATTAGGGAGGGAGGAGGTATCTCTGACGCTGCAATAGGGAGTAACAGCGTTGAGCACACTGAGTTGGAAGAGTTAAGCTGTAGCCTTGGCCCACGGAGGCTCTGGCCCCTTCCTCTGTCCTCTTCCCCATCCCCCTCTGCACGGGAGAGCAGCTGCTATTCTGACTGATGTTTCTTGAGACCACACCACCCTGTGGGCAGAGACACTGTGTCAGAAGGCAACGTGCATTCACGGGTGCCCCGTCTCTTCTTCCATCTGCGGCCGTACGTGGTGGGCTGGCTCTTCTTCTCTGTGTGGCTGTTTGGGTAAGTGGATTTGGGAAGATGCCCCACAGAACTCACCAAGTCCTGTCACTCACCACCAGGATGCTGATATTTGATACGGGGGCAGGGGGCTGTTCTCGACCCTTGGGCCTCAGGCAGGTGCCCTGACTCAGCTTATGGGATACTTGCCCGTCTGGCATCTTGTTCCCCATTGGCAATTGATTCTCATATCTGCGGCTCCTCAGCCAGGAAATGGCGAGGGGAAGCAAATGAGGGGGACGGAAACCCTAATTATGTCTCAAACCTCTAGCATTAACCTCAGCACCTCCAACAACGCGCTGTGATGATCTCTCTCCCTCATCAGACGGCAAATTGCCTGAGAAACTGTTATTGATCTTTATATCCCCAGTGCTTAGTACAAGGCCCAGTTCATATTAGGTGTTCAAAAAATGTTAAGTGACTGAACAGATGGATGAATTTGGCCATGCTTAGACCTACTTCACCAACCAAGCCCTGGCTACTCTGTCCCCGGTCCTGTCAGGCAGACACCTGGACATTTCCTATACAAGCTACAGCTGTCCTAGCTCTGTGTTTAGCCCAGCTGGTCACCTTCCACAGAATGTCCTCCAGTCCAGCTCAACATTCACATTCTCCATTAAGCCCTTTCCAGCTAGTCCTGCCCACACTCATTTCCTTTTCTAAATGCCTCTTGGACAGTTCAGTACTTTGTTATTCTCTAATTTTTTTAAATTTATTTTTATTGTTGAAAGTATACACGTGTTCCTCTTTTTCCCCCATCGACTCCCTCCACCTCCCCCCCACCTCCCCCCCAGGCCTTCACCGCACTACTGTCTATGTCCACTGGTTATGCACATATGCATTTAAATTCTTTGGTTAATCTCTTCCCATTCTCCCTCCCCTCTTCCCTCTGAGGTTTGTCATTCTGTGCCATGCTTCCATGTCTCTGGATCTATTTTGTTCTTTAGTTTATTTTGTTCGTTAGATTCCACATATAAGTGACATCATGTCTTTCTCTGACTGGCTTATTTTACTTAGATAATACTCTCCAGGTCCCTCCATGCCGTCTCAAAGAGTAAGAGAGCCCTCTTTTTTATAGCTGCTTAGCATTCTATTGCGTAAATATGTACCACAGCTTTTTTATCCACTCCTCTGTTGATGGATACTTGGGATGCTTCCAGGTCTTAGCTATTGTAATAGTGCAGCTGTGAAAATGAGGGTGCATGTATTCTAAGAGTAGTTAGCCTAAGGAACTGTAGATATCTGAGCTGTCTGGCATGGTAACAGCTGGAAACATGTGGCTATTTAAATTAAAATTCAATAGCACTTAAAACTCAGCTCCTGATTTGTACAAGCAACATTCAAGTGCTCAAAAGCCACATGTGGCTACTGGTGTCCATATTAAACCGGGGAGATAGATGACATTTTGCAGAAAGTTGTGTTAGACAGCAATCCTTTCTGTTGACAGCACAGGCTAATGAGGTCGACCAGGAGTCCATATCAATGGCAGGAAAAGTTCATCAACTTGTTTCAAGTTACTGTTCCCCTGTTCGATGTTTCCAAATACTTCTGTTGTTACACACATACAGCTGAGTCTTGGACATTATAAATCATCATATCTTTGTATCTTCCGTAGCCACTACTTTAATATTGGTGAAACAAGCCTTGCATCTGCTACTTGAGGGAGATGGCGATTTCATGAATAATTTAAAGTAATTCCCACTGTCGCAACATCAGATTTTTCACTGAGGAGCACACACCTTTGAATGCATGTTACTTTATTGAAACGCACACATATACAATGACGACAAAGGAGAACTCTGCAGAGTTGAGCACAGCGGTCGCATGCACTGGGAGGACAGGCAGACTCTAGTTTTACAGAATGAAACAGGGGCTGAAACATGGGCAAAGACCGGAGAGCAAGTTTCATCTCCCATCACCACACAGAACGGTCTTCCAGCCTGTCAAACATAAGAAGCAGAGCATGTCAGAAAAGCTTCCCAGCATTCTGGGCGGCTTGCAAGAGTGAGACATTCCCTTCTGAACTGAAAGGTGGTCTGACACTGTTGAAAAGGCCCCTGTTGGCATTCTGAATAGGAGGCCATGGAGAATCAGAGCAGGAGACGGTGGCACAGGGTGCAGGCCCCGCTGAGTAGCTTTCACTCTTGGTAATAGGAGTCTCTGGCAAATCTCAGAGGGACGATGTAAAAGGCTCTGTATTTATCAAAGACGCCAAATAGCTTTGCAATATTTCTCAAGATCAAAACTACAGGAATCACACAAAACTGTAACAAGAAAGTTATTGCTGCTCAACTCTGAATATGCTTCTTTTGTTTTCCTGCAAGGCTATTTTCTAGACTGTAAAGAACCCTTTTTGATAAAAGAGCATTCACAGGCAACTTCAAGGCTGTCAAGTTTTGTTTCCTTCTAACTGCACTTGATTGTGGCTGTCAATCAGGATGCAATTAACTTTATTTCATGCACTAACCATGCAACTTCAGGCCACAAAACAGAACAGCAGAAAGTTGTAAGTAAGTCTGGATGGTTCTTTTTCTCATCCTAAGTAGATATAGCTTACCCGAAACTTTTCACTATAGCAAACATCACATGCATGTCCATGAAACATGAAAAAGCATTTATTGGTTAGTATGTGAAAACAATCCTCATGAATTGTCCATCTGCTTTCCTTGCACTTACTGTTGAAATCTGGCTGATACCTCCAGGGACAAGAGCACTGGAGTTTTATTCCAGTCCAAATGGTTGTTTCCCTTGGAGAAAACAAACCTGACTACTCTAGAACTGCACCTTCACCCTGGGCGGCCACTGCCCAAGAGAATGGAGGGAGGGTGGCAGGGAGGGTCACGGGGAAGGTGATGGGCAGCTCATCAGGTTATCTGCTTTAATCTCTGAGGGGAACCCCAATGTAGAGTAACACGCCAGTCACACTCACTGAATAAGTGTTCTAGTGACCTCTTCTGGGGAACTTGGTTTTTGCTGGTGTAGAGCTCTGGCTTTAAGGCAGACAAGCTGCCATAGAAATGGATGAACCATGTGCCATGTGATCTAACTGGGGGTAGAGGCAAGAGGCAGCAGACAAAAGAGTCAGTTATGAACACTGAGGAGGATCAGGCTTCTTCAGCTCAGCTTTTTGTCCAGGAGGTACCAGAGGGTCCTAGCCCAATGTTCGACCCATATGTATTGGTGGAGATGTCTTCCCAAATCAGCCCACACTCCAAGAAAGCCCCTAAGAATCATACATTGTTCAACATTCATTAATTGAATGCAATAAATTACTATGTGACATCATTTGAACTAAAACATTTTAAAAAGTAAACGAGCTCCCTGTAATTTATCTAGAGTTTCATGTAAAATCAGAAAGATTGGAATAAGACTCATGAGGGCCATATCCTCGGATATCCAGACATGCCATATAGTATATAGAAACTAAAGATGACCCCAGCCAAAGTTGGATGATCGGTCATTTCAACGTAGAGATGGGGACTCACTCTATGCTCCCCAAATTCTAACCCAGTAGGAATTCTCCACAGAGTAATTTCTGTGCTAAAAGTCACTTATATTTGAAGTTTTCCAAGGAGCACCAAATAATGTGCAGTAGAAAATACTACCCCACAGAAGTTTAGAGATTTACAAATGACCACATGAAAAGAAAGGTCTTGCCATCTTGTTCCTTAGCCCCATTTCCCTCCAAATCCTACCTGGCCTGGAAGACCCTGTTCCAACGTTTCCTCTCCAGGCAGCCCTCTCTGATTTCCCTCTCCCTCCCCTGGCACCTTGAGCTTTGCAATAATGTCCCCACACACGCCTCCTCATACCTAGTTCTGGGAACATTTTCTGTGCTTTCGCTCATCAAGAGGTCTGAAATCAGTGTCTCAGGGCTGGATCGTTTTCCATATCTAACAAAAACAGAAAAGGGGAAAGTTCTTTAAAGCAAATTTTGAATATCCATAAAAATTTTTAGAAAAAAAGATCATCTCCCATTTGGGGTCTCAAATCTAGAAGTTATTTTCAGTTAATCATCTGCTAACAAGTGGTATAGGTGTACAAAACATACATTATCAAACGCATCATAAATATGATTTCAAATTAAATATATAATTTTGTCAACATACTTAAGTAACAGCAGATTATTTAAACCCAACCAAAATTCCAAATTCTTATCTTTTTATACCACAAGTAATACATATGTAGATATATTTATATAACTAGGTGACTGAAAATAAAAATGCATCAAAGTATGATTTAATGTTTCCATAATTAGTTAATTGGCTATAGTTCTGATGATATACAGCAATTTAAATCTTAATAAAGAGACCAGATGATATTTCAGAAACACCCCTACAAAAAGAAGAAAATAGGTGACTAAACTTCTAGACCCCCTTGTGTCTTTCAATCTCAGTTTTCTCATTTGTAAAAACAAAATCATAACTCGTGCTTACATCGGAGTCTTTGTGAATATTCAGTGTGAGTCACTATGCGCTGAAAGTGATCAAGTGATACACAAATGCAAACTGCTGCTTCGAAATCCATACTTTCTTACAGACAGCAATGAAACCCCGGTCCCTTTCTGTATTCTCCCATGCTGTGATTTCATCTGCCCCATAAATATAAAGGAATCCCAACAGAAATGTTCCTGGTCTTTTTTCTCCTGTTGCAGGATGTGAGTAGGACAATCCATGAAGGCAGGGCTATGGTTTCCTGCCCATGGCATACAGTACTTGCTCCAGGTGAGCGAGGAAACCGATCCATTCCTCCCTCCCTCACGCGAGTCTAACAAGTCCATGGTACCAAGTAGCATTTTTTTTTTAAAGAGGCTGTTTACCCCTTTTTCAAAAAAGGCATTGGACACCAACAGCCACTTTTTCCCACCAATGAGAGACTCGCCTTGCATGGATTGATTAGCTAATAGATAAACCAGAGGTATACTTTGACTGACCGTCAAGCACAATTAAATCTAAATTTAGGGGGAAATTTTCCTATTATTGCTCCTTTTCTGGGACTCAAGGGAAGAGAAAAGAAAGCAAACTCCCCTGCCCCCATCATTTGTAAGGTTCCCTCAAAGACTTTCTGGAGTTATTCTGTCCAGTTGATTTTACTAATGTTAAAACTTGGGCAACCTCAACTCATTTATCTTCATCATGCTCCAGTGAATGAAAGAATTGGCCAATATTCTCTCCAATTTACCAGTCAAAGAAACTAAATCTATAATAGCAGGATTTGCACAGGACAGCACTGTTCACTATTCTTTCTTCTCTAATTCATTCTGGATTTTCCTTCTTTTCTACAAGCTTTAACTTTCGAAGGTAGAATCTGTGGGAAAAATCCCAACCCTGGCTGCACATGAGTCACCTGGAGAGCGTTTCAACCACTATGACGTCCAAGCCCCACCCCACCTCACCCGGGCTCTGACTGAACTGGTTGGGGTGCAGCCCAGCATCAGTATATTGTTACAGTTCCCCAGGTGATTCCGATGTGCGACCAGGTGGAGACACTGCTCCAGGACTGGTTTTCTCAAACTCAGCACCATGGACACCTGGGGCTGCATAATTCTTTGTTGTGGGGTGCTGTCCTGGGCATAGTAAGATATTTAGCAGTATCCCTAGCCCCTATTCACTAGATGCCAGTAGCACCCCCCAGCCCCTCTGTGATGACCTAAAATGTTTCCAGACATTGCCAAATCTGACAAAATGTGGTAGATCCATGCTCTAGAAAAAATAATGCAGCTTTCAGAAGCAGTGAGCCGGGGTACACAGCTTAAAAACAGGGACTGTGTAGAAAAAAGAGAGGAAAGAGAATATTTATGATGAAGTCAAACGTATATTCACAAATGACACCGTAATTGTCAAAGATAACCAACATGTGCATGAGAGCTGGTGTGTGTGGTGGGAAGGCAATAAACATACGGGATGGAGATTACTGGTGCAGATTATAAATCTCTGACAGTTTCTAAGGAATTTACATGAAGATGAGACAGAAAACTCTGCTCCAGGACCAACTCATTTCCACTGAATCTGAATCTCTTCCCGTGAAACCCAAGTCCCCTTCCTTTATTTTTTTCTCGGCAAGGATGCTGGAGATCACACTGACTGCTGGTGCCGGTGACAACATCCAAGGACAATGAGTAGGAGGAATCCACTTTCATCTCCCCTAAAAAGGTCTCATGAACTGTTCTTAGTTTTATGATCTGTAAAATGGAGATAATTATATTCACTCCAAACCTTTGAGGTAAATACTGAACAAAATAATGCCTAGAAAAACATTTTGAAATGCTAAAGCTTTGTATCATATGATGATAAAGCTTTATAGCAACTATCTTTTCAAAAATAAGTTCTACAGTGTGTTATAAATGACTAACTAAATAACTAACAAAGGGTTTCCTAGAAAGGATAACAATATCTTTTTTATCTGTACAAGTTCTTTTCTCCGGTAGGTAAGATAGCAGGAGCAAGAACTAGAAACAATTAACTTTCTAAGAAGTCTATGAGGATATAAAACATGGTTGCTTTTTACTAATTAACATTAGCAGGCTTCAGGGATCATAAATCAATACTATTTCATTTTGGCTCTTTATGTATTCCTGACTCTATATAAATTGAGACTTTTTAGAAAACTTCACAAGATGAAACAGCTTTTCGATGAAACATATAAAAGAAAACTTTATTTAAGAAATAGAAAATCTCCCCACTTTGCAACCTTTCCAACTATTCCCTGACTTGTAAACAATAAAAACATGGTAAAAACAAAAACAATACTTTATAAGATATAATTTAAACATGTTAAATAACATTAATGCTTTTAAAGGGTTCATTGTTTTTAGCTTACTGAGATCATTTGATCTTGGGAATTAAAATTAAGATATTGAGTGATTTAGGACTACTATGAACCAATTTTGAAAACAAATTTTAAATCCTACATAATTTTTAAATTTGTTTGGATTTGAGTTTTTGCTTAAGATTTGATGTTGAGCATGAAAGTGTGGAATTTCATTTTAGCTTCCTGGGGTTCAGAAGGAGGTTTACAATTTCTCAGATTCCATGTACTCTCTGGATTCACCCAGAGTGACTAGACCAGTGTAAGTTTCTATTTAACAAAGCACCAAGCAGTCACTTTCTTTCCAGAATTCACCTGCTATAAAGTGAGCAAGTCTCTGCATTTTAGATCCACTGATCTCTGCTAAATCTCTATTTATCTGGACCAGAATTTTCAAGTAAAGGTCTGAGACTGAAAAAATAAACCCTGTACAGAAGAAAAGAAAATAGCTCTATTTGTCTTTCCCTAAACAGTGTCATTCAGTTAGCTCCGGGCGGGTTGGAAGATCTGGCAATATCTTTAGGACCCAGCTCTTTCGTCCTTGGTTTTTGTTGTCTTCCCTGGACACCCCGCCTCCCTTTTCCTGCAGCCCTTTCCTGGGGGCACTCCTGACCCCTTTCGCGGGGTTCTTTCCCTTCCTGGTTTCCAAACAGTTCCCAAACTGCTCTAAAAACACAAAAGAGGAGGGGAGGATGGGTAGGAGGACATGCCAGCCCCACAGCTCAGAGAACTTGCATCTGGGGCTCAGAATTTGGGGACTGAAGTTGCCGAGGGAAAGTACTCAGTGCCCTGCACAAACTCTTACTGAAAGCTGAGTTAAGTTCTGCTACTACTGTCCTGCCCCGGGATGTAGGAAAGAAAAGAAATAGTCCGTGTCCTCTCTGAGATCCCCAGCATCTCTGGGCAAGCAGGCAGGACAGGACGCCCGGGAGCAGGTCACTGGGAGCCCACCCACCTCTGCCTGGTGATGAGGTTGATGTAATGTCGCAGCGCAGAGTAGTATCTGGCCAGGTCCTCCGCAGACGCGCTCTCTCCGGGTTTTTCGGGCTTGGAGGGGTAAGCCTCGGTCAGCGCGCCCAGACACACGAGCAGGGACAGGGCGAGGGTCAGGCGGGACAGCCCCAGTGGCTTGCTCCCCAGCATCTGAGGGCACCGAAGGCGCAGGGGAAGGGGTTGGGGAGTTTAGAGAACACAAGCCCCGCAATCCCTCCCTTGCTTCCCAGCGCCAGTTCCCCTGCTACTACCCAACCCGAATTCGCCCTCGACCCAGTGAGCGACCCAGTGATGCAGAGGGGAGCAGAGCGTGGCAAGCAGCGCCCCACTGGCTTAGGGCGCAATCTGCGCGGCCCCTCTGTTCTACCTGAAAACTCCGTGCAACTTCGGTCCAAGTCACAGGGCCGAGAGCCGTGGCTAGTGAGGAGCACGGACGGGGTGGGACGTGGGGGCACCAGTTTAGACACTTTAAAAACAGAATTAGAAGTTCCTCCTGCTGGGTTGAGGAATGTCACTTTCCAGTCCTCTTTTGCCAAATCCCTGACAGAGGAGAAAAGTTTCTCCTCTGATACTTTTGGTCTGTCCAACCAAAAAGCAGGAGCTGAGATGACTGAGAGTACTTTGGGGTGGCAATTTGGGAGAGAGGGAAGAGAAGTGCTCCCGGCCGGCCGGTAGGTCCCGGGCGGGATCCCAGGTATGACGCGCTGGGCGTCGGGCTCCAGGATTCCTCATTAGGGGCGCTGCCAGGGAAACCTCCTTGCGGGCTGAGACCGCAGGAAACTGTCAGCTGCTCTGGATGGGTGTCCTGTTCTCCCTCCACTTCCTCCAAGGACAACCCAGAGCCCACCCAGCCGGGACGGTCTGGGAGAAGGGTGGCTGGACAAAGGGGACCGGAAGGGGCAGGTGGAATTTAGTGGCCAAGAGCGGCTGGAGCTTGTTGGAGGAGGGAGAAGACCTAGCCGGGCGTGCAGGGGCTGGGGAGCGAGCGGGACCCACCCAGTGCCCACGGCTCAGAAGAGGGTGAGACGGGGCCCAGCACAGACCCCCCTTGGCTCCTGTCAAGGCCAGAGGGCAGTGGCACTCACAGTGACGGCGGGCTGGCGCGGGCGTGGCTGAGTACTGCTCTGCTGTCCGGAGCGCCTCTCCCAGGCGTGAGAGCTGGTGAATGGGGTGTTGTGAGCGGGTTGCATCAGGGTTTTTATGGTGTCCCTCACCCAGAGGCTGGGCCTGGAACTGCAACAGTTTAAGTGCCTCTGCTGGGAGCCACCAACAACCCAACTCTCCTGCCTCAGGCCCTGCCCCTCCCCCTGGAGGGGGCCTGGCACCTCTCCGAAGGCGGCGCATTAAGAAAGCTTTGGAGAGCACCAAAGCAAAGTCCCTGCCCTCCCCTCACCCCGCCTCGTCCTGCCAGAGACAGGAACAGCCCATATCATCTTTGTCACCTGTTACCAGGACCACCACCTCGTTTGCCACCAGGGTATCTGAATTTTCCACTTAGTGGAGCATCTCTGGGACCCAAGCAACAGTCGCACTGGGCACAAGTCCTGTGCGCTCCAGGTAGACAAGTTGGTTCACAGATTTCCCTGCATTTCAAGCAGGGCGGAGGCGTGAGCCCCACGTCGGGAACAAGGGGGTCCCAAAGGCACCCTTTTCCTCCCAGGGCCTGAGATTGGGCTTCCCTGGCTTTGGCCCCTTTCCCCAGCTGGTTTCGCAAGGATACAAGCCCTTCCGATCGCACACCCAAAGGCGGGACCTGAAAGTGCGCAGTCCTGAAACACTGCGAGGCTGCACTTGTTATACTCACTTCTCAGTTTGCTGGGAAACAGCCCGTTTCAAGGGTTGAAAGACTCCTTAAAGTTCAAGTAAAGAAACATTTTGTTCCCAAGGGACAGCTAGTTAAAAGGACAATAATTTCACCCTGGCCAGGTGGGTCGGTTGGTTGGAGCATCCTCCAGGGCAGCAAAAGTTTGTGGGTTCCATCCCCGGTGGGGGCTATGGGAGGCAACTGATCAATGTTTCTCTCTAAACATATCCTCAGGAGAGGGGAAGGAAGGAAGGAAGGAAGGAAGGAAGGAAGGAAGGAAGGAAGGAAGGAAGGAAGGAAGGAAGGAAGGAAGGAAGGAAGGGAGGGAGGGAGGGAGGGAGGGAGGGAGGGAGGGAGGGAGGGAGGGAGGGAGGGAGGGAGGAAGGAAGGGGAGGAGGAGGAGGAGGGAGGGAGGGAGGAAGGAAGAGGGAGGGAGGGAGGAAGGAAGGAAGGAAGGGGAGGAGGAGGGAGGGAGGGAGGGAGGGAGGGAGGGAGGAAGGAAGGAAGGAAGGAAGGAAGGAAGGAAGGAAGGAAGGAAGGAAGGAAGGAAGGAAGGAGAGGAGGAGGAGGGAGGGAGGGAGGGAGGGAGGATAGCAATTTCTCTTTTATCAGCTAACCCTTAGTCTCAAATACATTCAATTAACGTTGATAGAGAATGTGTGTTCTGATGGAAATAAAATAGGTTTAAAATAAGACCATTTGTTTTCATATCATGTTAAACCTGTTGAATGAATATGAAAAATACAGAAACCATGTTTACAAATTCAGGATTTCATGTAGTGGACTACATGTTTAAGTTCCATGAATGCTCCCAGAAATCGGAATCTTTCTGAATAAAATGGCACATTAGGATATTAAAGCATTAAGATACATGTTATTTTAATGTTAAAATGACAAGTGAGTCTGTTAAACAGACACTTTGTTTCAGTGCTTTTTTTTACATCTTACTGCATGACTACGTGCAAACATTAGACAAATTTTTAACCGTGTTGATGGTAATGTTATTTATTTGAACAGTGATAACATTAATTTAGAATAGCTTAAATAATGAGGTTAATTACCAAATACACTGAAAATTTTCAATTCTCATTTTTCATCTCTCAAAACTTCACATTTTTAAAAACAATTTCTCTTATAAAAAATATAAATACATTTCTAATTGCATAATCCATTAGATGCCATTTATTTCTTTAGCAATTCCTTCACAAATCTTTTCATATGTTTCTTCTTTATTTTATTTTATTTTATTTTATTTTTTGTCAATTTTCCTCTAGGTAAATTTTAGACTTTTTCTTCCTACATATATTTTTCCCTTAATGATCTCATCTTACTACATGACTTCAGTCATCATTGACTACAACATCTCTAATATCAATATATATATGTATATTTTTAAAATTTATTTTGGTTACAGATGTTTCTCTGTTTGCCCCACAGACATCCTCTTCTCTATCCCGCCCCTGCAAAGCATTGTTGTCTATGTCCAATGGTTGTGCATACATGCATGTAAGTTTTTTGGTTTATCTCATCTTTACACACACACTCCGCCCCTCTCTTCTGAGGTTTGTCATTCTGAACCATACTACTTTCTATGTCTCTGGGTCTATTTTGTTCATCAGCCTTCTCTGTTCATTATATTCCACAAATAAGTGAGATCATGTGGTATTTGTCTTTCCCTGATTGGCTTATTTTGCTTAGCATAATGCTCTCCAGGTTGTCTCAAAGGATACGAGATCTTTCTTTCTTACAGCTGCATAATGTTCCATTGTGCATATGTACCACAGCTTTTTTATATCCACTCGTCTATTGATAGACACTTGGGTTGCTTGCTTCCAGAGCTTAGCAATTGTAAATAGTGCTGCTATGAACACAGGGGTACATATATTCTTTCTGACTGGCGTTGCAGGCTTCTTAGAATATATTCCTAGAAGTGGGATCACTGGGTCAAATGGCAGTTAAATTTTTAATTTTTTGAGGAAACACCATATTGTTTTCCATAGTGGCTGCACCAGTCTGTATTCCCACCAGCAGTGTACTAGAGTTCTCTTTCCCCACACCCTCACCAGCACTTGTTGTGTGATGATTTGTTGATGGCGGCCATTCTGACAGGTGTGAGGTGATACCTCATAGTCGTTTTAATTTGCATCTCTCTGATGATTAGTGACTTGAGCACTTTTTCATATGTCTCTTGGCCATTTGTATGTTCTCTTTGGAGAGGTGTCTATTTAAGTCCTCTGCCCATTTTTTAATTGGGTTCTTTGTCTTCCTTTTGTTGCGTTGTATGTGTATTCTATATATTTTGGAAATTAACCCTTTATCTGATGTATTGTTGGCAATGATGCTCTCCCATACAGTGGGTTCCCTTTCCATTCTGATGCTTGCTTCTTTCACTGTGAAGAAGCTTTTTAGTTTGATGTAGTTGCATGTATTAATTTTTTCCTTTGTTTCTCTTGCCTTAGGTGTTGTATCAGTGAAAGTTTTGCTGTGTGTGATGTCTGAAATTTTGTTGCCTACATTTTCTTCTAGGATTTTTATGGATTCATGAGTCACATTTAAGTCTTTTATTCATTTTGAGTTTATTCTTGTATATGGTGTAAGTTGGTGTTCTAGTTTTATTTATTTTTGCATGTAGCTGTCCAATTTTCCCAACACCGTTCATTGAAGAGGCTGTCTTTACGCCACTGTATGCTCTTGCCACCTTTGTCAAATATTAATTGAGCACAATGTCTTAGGTCTATTTCCGGGTTCTTTGTTCTGTTCCATTGATCTATATGCCTGTTCTTGTGCCAGTACCAGGCTGTTTTGATTACAATGCCTTTGTAGTATAACCTAATATCTGTTATTGTGATCCCTCCTATTTTGTTCTTCTTTTTAAAGATTGCTGTGGCTATTTGGGGTCTTTTATGGTTCTATATGAACTTTTAAAGTATTTGTTCTAGTTCTGTGAAATATGCCATTGGTATTAATGGAGATTGCATTGAATCTATAGATTGCTTTGGGTAGTCTGGACATTTTATTTTATTTTTTTAATTTTTTATTATTATTATTTTTTTATCCTCACCCAAGGACATTTTTCCATTTTTTGTTCAGGTAGAGTGGGAGGGAGAGAGAGAAACATCGATATGAAAGGGACACATCGAGTGGCTGCCACCCGCATGACCAACCAGAGCCGGGGACAAACTGCAACCGAGGTACATGCCCTTAGTGGGAACCGAACCTGGGTCTCTCTAGACTGCAGGCCGACGCTCTAACCGCTGAGCCAAACCGGCCAGGGCTGGACATTTTAATGATGTTAATTTTTCCAATACATGAAGGTATATGCTTCCATTTTTTATATCTTCCTCCATTTCTTTTTTCAATGTCCTGGAGTTTTCTGCAAATACATCTTTATTTCTTTGATTAAGTTTATTCCTAGGTATCTTAATTTTTTGGCCGCAATTATAAATGGGATTTTTTTTTTTTTTTTTTTAGTTTTTCTTTCTGTGAGTTCATATTGGTGTATAAGAATGCCATCAAGCCCTGGCCGGTTTGGCTTAATGGTTAGAGAGTCAGCCTGTGGTCCAGAGAGACCCGGGTTTGGTTCCCGCTAAGGGCACGTACCTCGGTTGCAGTTTGTCCCCAGCCCTGGTTGGGTCTTGTGGGTGTTAACCACTCGATGTGTCCCTTTCACATCAATGTTTCTCTCTCTCTCTCTCTCCCTCCCACTCTATCTGAACAAAAAATAGAAAAATGTCTTTGGGTGAGGATAAAAAAATTTAAAAAAGAATGCCATTGATTTCTTGATGTTACTATTGTATCCTGCTACTTTGCCAAATTTGTTTATTAAATCTAGTAGATATTTGATCGAGTATTTAGGGTTTTCTATGTAAAGTATCATGTCATCTGCAAATAATGACAGTTTCACTTCCTCCTCTCCAATTTGGATCCCTTTTATTTTTATTTCTTGTCTTATTGCTGTGGCTAAGACTACCAGTACTGTTAAATAAGAGTGGCGACAGTGGGCTCCCTGTCTTATTCTTGTTCTTAAGGGAAATGTTTTTAGTTTTTCCCCATTGAGTATGGGGTTGGCTGTAGGTCTTTCAAATATGGCCTTTATTATGTTGAGATATGATCCCTGTATTCCCACATTGGTGAGCATTTTTATCAGAAATGGGTGCTGGATTTTGTCAAATGCTTTTTTCAGCATCTATTGATATGATCATATGGTTTTTATCTTTCATTTTGTTTATGTGGTGTATCACATTTATTGATTTTTGAATATTGTACCAGCCTTGCATCTCTGGGTGAATCACACTTGGTCATGGTGAATGACTTTTTTAATGTATTGCTGAATCCTATTTGCTAATATTTT